CGCCTGTCGGGCGGCGGGCGGAGCTGCAGCGCCGGGTGCCGCGGCCTGAGGTGACTCCGGGAGGGTCTGGGGTCGGTTCGGGTTTTTAAATGACGAACGGCCACAACGGGGGCTCTTGTGCCCTCGCTGCCTTGGGCAGGGAAAAGCCTTCTCGCTTGGAAGTTTCGTTTGAAAGAGATGTCGGGCGAGGAGGGCGGAGCTTGGCAGGGACGGAGCACGGCGGAGGAGGCGGAACCCCGGCCTTGGCGCGGCCGGATGAGCCATGGCAGCGCCGCACGTGTCCGACAAAGCCTTACCTGATGGAAGCCCCACCAAAGCAAAGGGAATGATTGGCTAAGTCCCTTACCGAGTTTTTGTCCCTTTTTCAATTAACAGTGCTAATGAAGTTCTTCCCATTATCATTAAGTTTCCCGCAAATGTTAGCTCCACGCTGTAAAACAGCATTGTATGATCAGTTAGCTCCTGCCCAGGGCCTCGGCCCCGCTTCCTACAGTCCTGTTTTCCGACAAAAAGAGCCATTCTTCTGCATCTCCCACAGCCAGACAGCGCAGCACCATCTTTGTTCCTTTAAAAGTCTTCTAAAGTGGAATTCCTTAGCTGGAATTTCTGGGAACACATCAGCTGTTCAGAAAGGACCCTGGAATTCCAGCCTATAAACCCTACAAATCTCTCTGTAATTCCTAGAAAGAACAAGGATATACCGGGAAAACACAAAGAAATTTTCAGAGAGTGATGGAAAATTCCTAGAGTCCAGTCTGAGTTCCTAAAAAGCCTACTGAAAATCCACAGAAAGCCCACTGAAATTTCTAGAAGGCCCATGGATATTTTATAAATAGCACCAGTTAAATCCTAGGAACAGGAAATTTCTAAGTGTTAGTTTGTGTTCTCACTGCTCCCTGGGTGTGTGACAATTAGCATTTGAGTTAGCTTTGGAGTTGCTGTGAGTGCTGTTAAGTGGTCAGGGTGGTGAGTGAGCTGGCAACTGAGATTTCTGGGTTTGGATATTTCTATACTAAGTACCAAATTTCTATGTATATAAAAAAGCATAGTGATTATACACCTCAAACTTCTAACAACATAAACAGTGGATATACTCTGTATTTAAAGGGAGTATCTCTACACCAGAGGCTTCATCTTTCTGTTCCCCACACGCTTTCAGGGATCCCACAATAGCAAACTTTAACTATTAATGTTGAGGTTTTACCTACTTGAGCCTGTCAGGCACTTTGCTTATCCCTGAGGGAGAAAGGACTGGCTCCCTTGTCCATTCATAGCCCCCTCACCTCCACTGTGAGTGCAGCCTTCTGGATCCTTGCTCCAGCCAAATGATTCCATGAGGCTGTGAACTCCTCCTCCAGTTTGTCACCTGTCCTTTTAACTTTTTAAAGGAGTGAAAGACTCACCTTAGAGAGTGGCTCCAAGGTTTTGAAGCAGAACAGCTGCAGCTGCCCTTCTCTGTAAAGGCAGCTGCACTTTCCCGTGTTTCCTCTCACCTGCTTTGTTTTGGTGATGATCAGGCACTGCCCATGGCCAAAGAAATGGACTTAGAGAGTCTAATTTTTCAGGCTGATGTGCCTCCAGCTGGCTTTCTCCTCTGAGAATCCAGACAGAACTGACACCGTGCCCTGAGCAGGATGGTGGGAAGGGTGTGTGGGATCTGGGCTTTGCTTGATTGTATTTTTTTGTTCGTTTTCTCCTCACATTCTTGCAGAATTTCTCCTCTGGTGAGCAGGCAAGGCTGCTATGCCTTGTGTCATGCTCCTGGGCTTCTTGGGGAGGGACACTTTTTTGGAGAGGTGCTGCCCATGGAAGGGAACATCCACTGCCGGCCAGCACCTGGGCTAAGGTGAGGAAATGCAAAGCTTGTGCCTCAAACCTGAAAAGTAGGACTCTACTGTCCTGTGTATCCAAAGAAGGACATTCATCATCACCTGGGGCATCATCTCACCTCCCCAGTTTGGATTTTCCTTGGGGCAGGTGTCACTGCCATCTCTGCCAAGGGTTGAGTATTCCTGGGGCTGGGCCACTGGCTCTGCAAGTTGCAGATCCCAGATTGGATCATAACCTGTTGCTTGATTTGAAAAGAGAAGGCTGTTCTCTGTGCCCAAGTGGAAGATTCTGCAGGAAATTTCTTCTTGCAATAGCCTTTCCAAGTGGTTGCATCGAAAACAAAAGCAAGCAGGGAAGACAGGAACGTTTTTCAAAGCTTAAAGAGCCTGTTATTTTCTGTGTCGTACCTTGGCTCTTAATTGCCAAAAAAAAAATTTATTTGGATTTTCAATTAATACTTTGAAGGAGCTTTGAGGCAATAAATAAATAGGAAGTTATTTGAGATTTTAGTTGACACGTTGTTGTTGGTTGGGGTTGAAGCACAGACTAGCTCCTCCTGGGACTGGCTGGGGGACAGAGGGGTTTGCTTGGACCACTGTCCTGTGCTGAGGTAGCTGAGATGCTGCTCACACTCTGAATTACACAGCAACGCTCCCCCAGGGCTGTCTGCATAGAAAACCAAGGCAATGGAATAGCACAACCTCTCTGCTCTCCCCAGCATCAGACTGCCATAAAGCTGCTTTGTCTCCATTGGATGGGGCTTGTTTGGCTGCTGCTGAGCCTCAGGTTTCAGCTCTCCTCTGCCTCTCCCCAGGAGGATTCAGTGAGCTTGTGTCAGGCTGTTTATATCGCACTTCTTCAGTAATTTCCTGCCCTAGTCCTTACCAGGAGAGGCACAACAGAGACTTTGATTTTGTGTCCTGAGATGCATGAAGGAGGTGCAGGGTGAACTCAGCTCTCCTTAAGATCCAGAAACCTCCTGGCCTGCTCAATATGGAGCAGAGAGGGAGGAGTGACTGGCTGGTGGATCCCAAAAATCTCCTTTCAGCTCCACTGCAAAACAGTGAAGGAGGCTCCCTGGCATCTGCAGTCCAGTGCTGAAGGAGCCAGAGCTTTCTTCTCCCAGCAGACTTCACAGAGGAAGACAGGAGCATCCACGGCTCAGGCTATTCCCCTACCATGTCAGTCCCCTGAGTGTCTCAACTGCCCCTGGAGGAGGCTTTCTCCCACCTCTGCAAAACCTTCTTGCTACTGGCACCACCCTGGTGTGGAAGGAAGGAGTCCTCCAGCACTTTCTCTGTTCCCTCATCCCAACAAAACAGCTGATGGTACCTTCCCAGCAGACATCACCCTTCAGAGATTCCCTACAGGAAAAGACATCCAGGGGAGATGGACTGCTTTTGGGAGGCTGGGGGTGCCTCTGTTGGGACATCAGCTCAGTGCCTCCAGCTGGTAAGGGGCCCCAGCTGGGCTTTCTGCCATGTGCTCATCTCACACAGGGGTCAGTCATTAAGCTCCCAACCAAGGCAAATACCAATGTGTGAGAGAGCTGGTTTGCAGTAACAGCAAGGCATTCCAGCCAAAAATAGCAAAGGCCTGGGGGAAAGGAAGAGCTAGAGATGCTCCATTAGAAAAAAAAAAATATGGACAAAATAGTCTGGGAACTGGGTGAACAGAAACAGCAGGACAGAGAGCTTCAGCAGCAGCAGAAACATCCACAGTCCCAGTGAGCCTCACTGCCCACATCATATCAGCACAACTTCGATGCTGCCACCAACACAGACCAATGGCCACCTGCCTCACCACTCAGGGAGAAACTGCAAAACCTCCAGGCCTCTTGAAGGAGCCCATGAACTCTGCTGTCCAATGCAGATGTTTCCAGCAAATTATTTTCAGCTACTACTTGTCCACCCCTGAACCCCAGATTTCATGCTTAACCTAAAAATAAAAAAGACTTTGATGTGAGGTTCAAGTAAACAGAGAATTTGCCCAGCCCTGCAGGAGCTATCTCAGTTCCTCCTCTGGGAGGGCATGGTGGGGAGACAAAAAGTTAATTAATCTTGGTTCTCATTGACATGTAATGGAAAAAAACAATGAAATGGTAGAGCCACCCTAAAACTGAGAACAAAGACACTGCACCAATATTTCAGGCTCTTTTTCCTTCACTCTGAAGGGGAAAAATTTGCTCCATGCTTCATCCCGTGTGGGTTATCTTGGGAGGAACAATGTCCCCATAATTTCTGCTGACAATTAACCTTGCCTGGGCAGCCATTCTTCCCTGGGTCACCAGAGTAGCTATTTATACTCTTGGCCAGGGATGCTATTGTCAACAAACCACTGTCCTTCTTGGCCAACCCTGCACCAAGGCAGTGGGCAATGAGCCCAAGGTGTCCCCCCCAAGCACCCTCCCCTGCTCCCCAGGACCTGCTTCACCTGGGCCCTTACTGTGTAGACCCTTCTGTGCCCATTTTCTGCTCATGCTCTGCAAACACAAATTAAAAACCAGACATTGTTTAACCAAATCCTGTCAGGGCCCATCAGACCAAGTGCACAGGGAAGACATGGCTGGGACTATGGTCTTGAGTCTCCTCTCTGCCATGTGTGGCTAACACTGATTCCCCAGTGGCAGAGACACTGATGGCTCACCTGAGCACCTGCACAGGTATTTCTTCTGAGCAAAACCCAGAGCTTTAGCTGTGCAGTTAGTGCCAGGAACTGGAGTATGGAGCTCAAAACAAAACTCCAGATCTGGGCTGCTGCCAGCTGGAACATCTGCCTACACAGAACAGGATTTCAGAGATTTCAAGTCAAGCCAGCTCCAGAGGCTGGGGCAGCATCTCCTCCTGAGACACAGAGCATGGGCCAGGCTAATCCCACAAGTGCTGGAGGAACACATTGAACCAGGTCTGCCCGACCAAGTTACTTTCACTGGGGGACCAAAGATCCTTGTTTCCATATAAAACCACCCTGGGGAAAGATCAGCACCCTTGGTTGAAGGCCTTCCAGCCCATTGGTCCCATCAGAGGTTACAAGCAAACAATACAAGCCTTGCAAAGTCATGAAATGACTGTGATTACCAACTCATCCTGTCACTGCTGCAGGCTCAAGGTGGCCCCAGAGGTGGGCTGAAAACCCAACCTGTCACCAACACCAAGAGCAGCAAGCAAGAGAAGAGCCTGGGGCTGGCTGGCCTGCAGGGGTGAGGGTGGAGAGTGCTTCAGCTGCCAGGATGCAGGAGATAAATGGCCAATATCATCACTGTTAGCAGCAGTGCCCACCCTCCACACTGAAAGGCAAGGAGGAAGAGCTTTGCCTGGCCCTGGAAGGAAGGGGAAAGAGGGAGGCTGACACTGCTGTGATGGAGAGAGGTGAGAGGATGAGGCCACTAAATCCCTGCAGGGGAGGAATAGCAATGCTGGGGGGCTGTAGGGCTCTCAGCTCCCTCCTTGAAGACTTCTTGCCTTGGGAGCTTTACCTCCAACATCTCCATCACCACATCAGTCCCCAGCATGGTGCCAAACAGGGGACTTTTACCTGAGTTAACTAGTGGAAATGGGAGGCTAAGGAAATGTCCAGGGCCTCCTGGAGGGACTATGGGATCTGTCAGAACAGCATTAGAAGTGATTTAATTTACACAAGGGTTAATTGAGATGAAACCCATTAGTCAGGAGGGCTAGAAGCACTTCCTGTCACCCCAGCCTCTCCCTCTGTCAAAGTCAGAATTTAGGTCCAATTAGCCCCTGACAAACAATCAGGGTGGGTCCCTCTGCAGCATCCCCAGACAGGCCCAGGAGAGCAGCACTTCCTCAGAAATCAGCGCTAATGAGTCACTGAAACTAAATGACATTATTTAAAGCACTGAGCCAGCAGTTATTGGCTTCATCTGCCCCAGAGAAACTGGTCAAACCCTTTAGCATGGGGGCAGGATCCCACAGGTTTCCAGAGCCTTCTCAGAGGTTTTCTAGCACCTTTCCAGATTATTTCTGGCCATTTCCTTGATGTTTTTCTAGTCTTTCTGGAGGTTTCCTGTTGTATTTCCATAACATTCCTAGACTCCTCCTAGAGGTTTACTGGAACCCTCTTAGGGCTGTATAAGCCTCTTTATATTGTTTTCAACACTCACAGGTTGGCCATTTCCAAATTTCCGAAGTAGCACCCTAGAAATTGAGCAAAGCTCAACACCTCAAGCACCACATGACCTCAAACCTCAGCAGCCTGATTAGTAAACTGAAGAATTATGTAGAGATTAGGAAAAAAGAAAAATTTCATGTATGGGTTCATTCTATAGTCTGGACATACTTTGTAACATAAACTCTGAAAAGCACTCTGTAGGAGCCTTTTTCTAGTCCTGTCTGGAGTCTTTTGAGTACTGTCCTGTAAGAAAACAGCCTGAGCTACACATGTGCCTCATAAGACACAGACCAGCATCTCCCTGTCCAAGGAGGAAAAAACAGCTGCTGGGGGAGAAAGCCTGAACAGTGGATGCTTTTCTCTGAGCGTTCTCAATCCTAAGCCACATTTCCCACATGCATTTATACACTGGAGAAAAAACACCATGAGTGGCAGAGATGGGAAAGTGAGGACAGGGCAATTCCCCGTTCCCTCCAGGCATCCCCAGCCTGGCTCACATGGCATTTTTCTTCCACAGTCACCAAAGTCTCCTCTAAAAATCTGTCTGTGTGTAGCCTTACCTCATGGCCCCAGAACAGCAGCTCAGAATAGCACCTCAGTTTGGGACTGAGGTTTTTACATTTGCTTGTGGTAAGGGAGCTCTGGGGAAACATCACTGCCAGAGGCAGTAGGGATCTTACAGGCACAAGAGAATCATTTAGCACAAGAATCTACAGTCCTCCATGGTGCCCCAGGCAGTACCAAATGGCTTGGGGGCGGGAGCTGCTCTGCACATAGATTTACACAGCCACACTGAGGACCTGCAGCAAGCATTAGGTATATTTTGATTACCCTGAAAAATCTGTTGCAAAATGAAAAGTGCAGCCAGAAGTCCTATGAAAAGCAGGAGGGTGTTCACAGCTTGGCCAAAGCACCAATTCAGGACTTGAGGGCCTTCTGAGCCAGCTGTTCCCAGCATTTCTACTTGCACTTTAGAAATCCTCTAGCAATATCTGGCCTCTGGCAGGTTGTTTTCTCCTCCCAGTGTCTTTTGACAGTATTTTACAACACAAGGCATTACTAACAAATTACATGAAAAACACCACACACCATATTGGTTGGCATTGGCAGAACATGCTGGAGTAAGGGATACAGGCATCCATTCAAAGGGAAGGAATTGCAGCAGTAGAAGACTCACCAATGTACATTTGTCCACCTTCTGTTTCTTGCATCACAATATCAGGTATTTGACCGTGGGATTGGACCAGCGGTTCCCTCTTTGTTTCCAGCTTTTCTCACAATAACATTGTCTGTAGCCATTTCAGGTTCATTCTTGGCTCCACTCCATTGGAGAACAGATCTGGATGATGCTGAGAACTGCAAGCTCTAACCAGCAACCTGAGACATTTCAACTTGAGGGACTTCTGCCTGAAGCCTAGGACTCAAAACTGGCTTTCATTCCCACATTTCTGCTCAGTATCCCTTGGCTTTGCAGAGAACAAAGACAGACTATCCCATTGCTATAGTAACATTAACCAAAATAAACCATCTGCTAGAAAAGCTCCCAGGCACTAAATGCAAGATTTGTCTTCCAATATTACCAATGCACGTCAGACTGTGGTATGTTCACATGGATAAAATACTCTCCTCACACAGATACAAGAAAAACCTCATTCCATTTACGTGCTGTTTCAAACATGGAGCTTCACTCAGCATTTGCTGGCAGCAGACTGGGGCTGCAGTCTCTGGCTTGCTGCTGAGACACCCTTTGAAGTGTTACAGCCTGAAAGGTAAAGGGCCAGCTGGAGAGTGAATGGTGGAGCACCGTTCCTTCCTTCTGACTGCTTCTCATTCCATATCCCTGACTAAAATTTCCCCCTAGCTAATGATACACATCAGTGTGACAAGTTACATGTCTGGGTCCACTCCATGTAGGCCTGCAGTGTAACTGTTCATATCAGTTATTTTGCTCATATTTGGTGAAAGCAGTGAAAGCACACACACGAAAAGGGTTTCTGTGAAAAAAAGAGACAGATGCTCCCATTTCCCCATCATTATAACACCCAGAGCCCTTCTGTCAGCCCCACACCATCACATGAATACCAGGATAAGCAAGGGGGAAGTTCACAGAGGGAATCTGGAAGCAAACCTCATCTGTGCAGCTGCTGGCAAGCAGACACCTGCACTCTGTAGCATCAGTGCTATGGGTGGGCCAGGCTGCAGTTGTGACCTTGCTCAGATCCCGATGATTGTACAGAGGAGCAGTCAATCAAGCTCTGCTGGACAAGGATGCACAACTTGAGTCTAGTTTTTAACATCTGGGGAGAGCAAAAATTGTTAGGCTTCCTTTTTTGTTTGTTTGTTTGTTTTAAGCAGCAAGTTTTCTGTCAAGAGTTTTTAATATATTTATTTGAAAACAAGGTTTTGTGAAAGAGTACACTAAATAGCATATATCTGTTCTTCAGCCATAAAACACGGACTATCAGCTTTAGCTCAGCACAGATTGGGGCTGCATGCACTGAACAGCAGATCTCAATAGGAAGGTCTTCATGCCTGTCTTTCTGATATCAAGCATAGTGTCTTCTTTAGATGACAAGACCCTGGAGGAGGGAGAGAGAGAAACCAGAATTTAACTAAGGCTTCTTGTGGTGGGCCCCACACTAACCTGAGCCTGTCACTGACACATTTATAGTTTTCAGCAAGGAGTTTGTTTTCCTGCCCATCCACCAATTCAAATGCATAATCTCTGCTCCTGGGAGCCCTGAGACATGCCAGCCCATATTTGGAAATAAAGCAACTGGATTTCTGCCTTTCAGTGAGAAACTTGCACATCCATTCAGGCACTTTAACAAAGGAACCTGACAACTGCACCGTTTATTTCCTGAAACAGATCTACTGCTATAATTTTGTTGGGCTCAGAAACCATCACAGAACCCATGACTGAAGTGTCTTTAAATTCTGCTAAGAACTGCTGGGAAGACAAGGCAACTCCAGGTAGCAGAACAGTAGTTCTGTTTTGACAAATCCTGGCACCCTGAGGTCAAGTAGATGACAGCTTTGTTATGTAAACTACTTGCCCCTCTGGGACCATCTTTCAGGAGCTGACTAGTCCCTGTGACCCCTACACTGCTCTCTGCCCAGCCAGGCTCTTCTCAAGAGTAGTTAGGCCTGCCAGATTAGAGAGCAGATTCCATACAACTGGGTCAGGACTGACCCAAAAGAGTGAACTTGTGGACTTCTAAGCTGCCAAAGTCTTAAAATTAGGACAGGGTGGTTCAGGTTCTTGCTCCTCTTCCTCAATCTTCGGACCATGAGCTGCCACTGGTTCAACCAGCTCCTCCATATCCTCACTGGTGTCCTTCAGGATGATGATGCCTCCGATGGAAAGCTGCAAGACAAGTGCCATGAGCATTTAGAGATGCTTGCCTCTGCCTCATGGTGGAGTGTTTGTCGCCAGAGTCTATTCTAGGCAATATGAGACTCCTCAGCAGGAATGAGTTTCAGGGAGCAAAGCATCTGACACTCACCTGTATTTCTGCCTGATAAGGGTGTGGGACAGGCAGAGTCTGTCCAGGCAACTTTTGTATTTATTTTATCTAGGTCTCAGTTCAATAGAAAGTGACATCTGGATTCACAGCTTTACCCCATTCCCAGTTGGGGCTTTCCACATGAAAACTAATTGAACTGTAATTGCTTTATAAATAAGGCTCATCTTTTCAGGTTTACAATGCTTAGTGAAGCCTCTCTGTGTAGCTGCCTCCCAGGAGATTCTCAGAAACAGAGACTAATCTGATCACCACCTTCCACAGAGTGAGGAATCCTATTAGCAGAACCTCACAAAAACAAAGGGGAATTAATTACATAGATCACAATGAAACATCTTGGCAGGCTGAAGCACCTCCGGGAGCAAACACAAGGCGCAAAGAGGCAGTGCTGTGTCACGCCTGGCTGGGATCAGGGCTTTGGCCACAGCAGCATTTCAGGCTATAAACAGCATCTCAAAGAGGTCTTTTACTCTGGCATTCCCCAAAGCAGAGCAAAGGTCCAGAACGGCTCCGTTCCAAGAGGCTCCTTGGTTACACACCCTAATCCCAGCAAGAAATGCACTGTTCTGTTCTCTTCAAAACTTATTTATGGGGCTTTAAGGCAGGAAACTGAACTCCCTCACCAAACACTCTGCTGCTTTTGAAACTGAAGCAAACAGCTGTGCATGTCCACATTTCAGTGAGTGGACACTTACTGGAACACACATCAGATCTTCCCTATCCAAACAGCAGTTGGATCACCTTGTTTTAAAGGGTAGAAACTAAAAAACCTTTCCACTGTTTTGCTAAAGGAGATGTTTCAAAAGGGAACAGTGCACAGAGAATTCCAATGTGCTGATGGAATTCCAGGAAATCCATTTATTAAAAACATTACTATTTTCCAGGAAAAAGTATTACTACTACTGAACACCATTTTCCCATGCGTAATCCTGGAATTTGGGTTAAATCAAGCATGTTATTTTTTTGAAGAAAAATAAAGGGCAGAAGACTTTGGCTCAGGAGATTTACAGTTCAGGAGCCAGCTTATCAGATTTGCAGCATATCTGAACATCTCACAGAGGAGTTAGTTACCCCTTGGGCTGAGTGGTAAAAGACCTTCTTCATTCTCCATCTGACAATTACATGCTCTCTCTTCTCTGTTTTTACAGGAGCTGAAGTAAATTTTCTAAATCCAGATGTAACTCAATAGGAAAGATGTTCAATGAAAAAACCCCTCCATTTAGGTATAAATCCTACTGCAGGGTAATAAAATTCCAGCACAAGTCCTAATGTATTTCACTGCTTTGACACCAAACCAGTACAGCTTCTCAGCCTATTTTAAAGATCGTGGCTCAGTCTTTATGTTCCCAGCAATGTCATTAATACACAATGTATGTCTGATTGGTTTTCATGCTGCACAATTGACACAGGTACAAGAAGAAAGAAAAATATAGCAGCATTAACACGGTGGAAAGGTTTGCAGCAGCTCTTTTCCCCAACTAGAACTGCATGTGATCATTTGCAGAGAGGGACATTAAAAAATGCTTTGCAGCTTTGTTGCAAAGCTGCAAATCTTTGCAACACATTCCAGTGCTGCACCAGCTGTGAGTTCTCATGTACACACAGAACTTTTGGGCTTTACACACAAGCCCAGCACTGGGAATGCGCTGCCAAGCACATGGACTGGGAAGGTGACACTTACTGGTTTGAAAGGCTGGTACCGGCAGCTCTCTGTCATAGTGAGAACTTTGAGCTGAGCAGGCATGACTCTGGCTGGGTTGTCCAAAAGCTGGAAGTTGGGTTCAGGCTCTTTTTTCTTTTCTTTTTCATCCTTCTTTTCATTCTCATCCTACGGAGGGAGAAGAGAAGATCAACTTGATTTTAGCAGTAACCTCTAACCTTTCACAGTTCAGCAGGGTAAGATACAGTCAGGCATCAATTACAAAGTTCCTCTTTTGCTGAGGAACATGCTAATATTTATCTATCAAATGGTACAGAAAATTCCAGCGTGGATCTAAGTGCTCTCGATAGGGCAATGTCTCACTCTCATCTGCAGATGAAAGCAAGTTCAGAGAGAGGTAGCAGTGGAACAGTTTAACCTCTTCTTTCCCTTTCTCCTACCTTTTCTGTAAACTCACTACTTTTTGTCATAACTGAAAATTCTTTAATATCATTACTGAGCATATGAAAATTGCCAAAAACTACCTTTGTATTTTTGCAGCTATAAAGCTGCCACGGACATTTCACACTACTGGTAGTGACAGCAGTTCATCCAAAATGACTTGACCTCAGCAACTCACTAGGGAATTACAGTGAATCCCTCCCTTACCAATGACATGTAACAGCAGACAACTTAGGCACAGCAGCTGCTCATAGCTGTGCAGATCCCTTGGAGGCTATGGATTACAGTCACATAACAGGCATAAGAGGAAAACAGAAAAGCAATGATACCTAAAAAGCATTAGGACAATGGCAAAACACTCAACTCAAACACAGCAGGTGGCAGCAAGTTCCCTGTTTACTATCTTTGTTTTTCTGCTCAATTCAGCCAAGGAAACTTTTCAAAAATCTGTACACACACATGGACCCAACATGTGAACCCCTTCTAATATATTGCTTCCTCTCAACACCTGCACTTAAATGTAGGTTGTACCAATTTTAGAAGAAATGTGCATCTGTTCAGCACATTTTGCTTACTACATAGAACTGTAAGAATAATTCAAAGAAAAGGCAATGTTTGGTGACAAGGAAACTTGACAAAGGAGAAAAACCCCAAAACCCTGAGATTATACCTTGCATGCATGAGATGATTAATTTTCTGGGCCAGCTTCATGACATTCAGTGCCTACAACGTGGCCACACCTATGTAGGTCTAGGAAGGTTATTTTACATGCCAATCTTTGATCTTATGCCACATGTGTGGGGTTTGTTAGACTAAAATTTAAGTTAAAGAGGCCAAATGGGAAAGCACCTGGGGTTGCTGGTTGACAGTGGCTGAACATGAGGCAGCATGTGCTCAGGTGGCCAAAGAAGTCAATG